TCCAACAGGATTTGAACATTCAAGAGAGACCAGTCTGATCCGGCAAGCTTTGATTGTTTGGTTATGGAGAGCTTCAGTCGTTCAGATTTTCTCAAGAGCCATATCTGCTCAGTTTCGTACCCGAAACGTAAAACAAAGTAATTGCAAAAGAATGAATGGATTTAACTTCTTAATCCAAATGTTATTTTTAGTGTCTCCTGTTTTTAGTTGTGTGTGTGTGGTTTTTTTTTTTTTTTTTTTTTTTTTTTTTTTGACTATTTATTTTGTCTACTGGCCTGTGCACTTCATAAAACTTAATAAAAATGTGATTCCCCCCCCCCAAGGGGCAGTATTCAAACCTGCGTTCCCCTTTGCAGGAGAAAGCAATGATTGTCTTCTTTACTGCGTTCATCACTGTGTTCAAATTGTTTTTAATCATTATCTGATTCATAGCAAACATAAAAAGACTCAATAGAAAGACATTTCTGGAAATGTCTCATCAGTTAGTCCCAAGCGGTTCGTGACACTTGTACTAATATTTGTCTTGGACGACTGTGAATATTGCTTTAAAAAAAAAAAAATAAATATGCTCATAGATTGCTTTGTTTTCTTGCAAAGACATTATACTGCAAATAATTCAGTTTCTTGGATGTTTCTTTTTCTTTTTTTCTTTATGCATCTATTTTGATATCTTTAAAGTGATTAAGTTATTTTTCACATTTGTCTGAGTTCTGTGTTTTTTTTTTTTTTTTTTTTTTTTTTAAGCCTAGAGGAATCACTCCACCCACGATATTCAGATAACTACAGACTGTGTACAGGCACAAGTTGTTTGTGGGGGACCCTTAATCAGAAAAAAAAACAAAAAACTTTTGGGTTCTATAGAAATCTTCCAGGAAATTGGTTGCATGTGCAAAAGCTCAACTGGAGGTCATGAGGTCAGTGTCAAGGGGGTGGTAGGGAGATGTCTCCAGAAGGCAGACATGCAAAAAGCCAGATGTGATGTGTAGTAGTAGCTGTAATAGATGAAGAGGAGGTTGCCCACTCATTAAAAAGAAAAAAAGACACCCCATTTTTATTTTTTAATTTAAACAGTGTGTATTACGACAGTCTGTCTGTGTACTCAAGAAATCTCAAAAAAAAAAAAAATAAACGAGGTGTCTATTGTCAAATAAGAGTATTTACTAAATAAGCAATAAAAATGTGATTAAAATCAAATTAAATGAAGCTTGTGAATTCAGTTTTAGAGGCATTGTCATAGTCCAACGTAAACTGTCGCTCACTTTCTGAGCGAACGGTTCGGTTTAACTCTCTGCTTTCGGGCGGTGTTCAAATGGGCTATTTTTTGGCTGAGCCTAATGGCTCGGAAATGCCCACGTTAAAAAGGCCTTGTGCCACATGACTCCCTCGTGGGGGGACGACTAAATATAGTCCAACGTAAACTGTCTTTGGTGATTCCATAAAATCTGTTGAATCCTTTATATATCCTTTATATACCTCAGAAGTGAAATAAATTCTACTGAAAAGGATGTGAAAATTCACATTGCTAAAGTGTGGGCTGCCTTGAATAAAATGGAGATAACCAAGAAATCTGCTCCATTTTACCCACCACAGAGCTGCCTTCCACCTCTCTGCAACTGCTTGATCTCACACTGTCCGCTGACCTCGGATGGAACAAATACATTGAATCAATAGCTTCATCCACCACAATGAAAGTTGGTTCACTGTGTCACGCCAGAAAGTTTTTCTCGCCCGAGTCCATCCTTCAAATCTATAAACCAACCATTTGCCCTTGCATGGAATATTGCTGTCATACATGGTCTGAAGCCCCTACTGTTTGTCTTAAGGTCCTCAACAAAATCCAGAGACAGATATACAATGTGATTGGCCCTGTTCTGGCATCTTGTTTACAGTCACTCTCTCACAGACATGCCGTCGCTTCCCTGTCTTTTCTACAAATACTTTTACGGTAACTGCTCCGACAAGCTACTTTTGCTGGTTCCCAAACTGCATGAATTTAAACATGCTACTAGATTGGCATCTCACCCTTTCATTGTCGAAATGGTTAAATGTAGCTGTCTCTTCTACTCCAATAGCTTCATGTCTTGCACTTATCACCTGTGGAACTCCCTTCCTCGTTTCCCTGATGGCTATAATCTCCAACTATTCAAATGCAATGTCAATTGACATCTGCAGATGCCTTGATCTATTCCCTGTCCTTCTCTTCATCCTTTCCTCTGTCACACCTCTTTACTCTCACTCCCAATCTCTGTAACTCCTTGCATTCTTGTGGCACTCCTGCCTTGCTTGGGGTGTAATTCTTAAAAAAAATAAATCTGATCTACCAGACAACCTCAAGTGGAGATTCTTTTGAGCCACTGTAGAAGTGGTGTTAATGTATGGCACCACTGCTTGGACATTAACTAAAACCCTAGAGAGTAAGCTTGATGGGACCTATACTCAGATGCTGAGAGCTATGCTTAACATCTCTTGGAGACAGTGTCCAACTAAATCATAGCTCTATGGACCTATCCCTCATATTGCTATAATTTTATGTAAATGCGGAATGCACTTTGCAGGATACTGTTGGTGAGTAAAACAAGAACTTGCAAGTGATCTACTGCTCTGGACACCTAGCCTTGGATCAGGATGATTTGGTCACTTAGCAACCACCTACCAGCTATGGTAGGTGGTTGCCACCCTAATGACCTTCTGATCTTGATGCAGACCTGTGTTGGTTGGCATGATAGATTCCTGAATGTCCGAGCTAACTTGACTGAATAAAATAAAAATAAATCCATCCATATGTTCTATTCTAATGGTTTCTTTTCTCACAATTTTCACCCGAGGAACTCCCAATACAATTTCTTGCTCCGTACAAAAAAAATTTAAATGTAACACCAATTACCATCTTGCTTTTCTGTTCTTTTGTCCTTTTCTCCTTATTAAAGTCTTCTCATTCTCTTTCACTCCCAGTAACCCCTTGCATCTTAGTGGCATTATCACCATCTTCTGTCTTTCTGAAACCTGTTCTTTTATTGTCCTTTCTCCTCACTAAAGTCTTCTCATTCTCTTTCACTCCCAGTAACCCCTTGCATCTTAGTGGCATTATCACCATCTTCTGTCTTCCTGAAACCTGTTCTTTTATTGTCCTTTCTCCTCACTAAAGTCTTCTCATTCTCTTTCACTCCCAGTAACCCTGTGCATCTTAGTGGCATTATCACCATCTTCTGTCTTCCTGAAACCTGTTCTTTTATTGTCCTTTCTCCTCACTAAAGTCTTCTCATTCTCTTTCACTCCCAGTAGCCCCGTGCATCTTAGTGGCATTATCACCATCTTCTGTCTTTCTGAAACCTGTTCTTTTATTGTCCTTTCTCCTCACTAAAGTCTTCTCATTCTCTTTCACTCCCAGTAGCCCCGTGCATCTTAGTGGCATTATCACCATCTTCTGTCTTTCTGAAACCTGTTCTTTTATTGTCCTTTCTCCTCACTAAAGTCTTCTCATTCTCTTTCACTCCCAGTAGCCCCGTGCATCTTAGTGGCATTATCACCATCTTCTGTCTTTCTGAAACCTGTTCTTTTATTGTCCTTTCTCCTCACTGAAGTCTTCTCATTCTCTTGCACTTTCTGTAAACTGTTGCATCCTAGTCGTGTTATTGCCTTGCTTGGATTGAAATCTTTAAAAATATATATTCAGGAAATGTGACTACAGTACAAGGCAAATTTTAATAAGTTTTTTTAGTTTATGGGGAGTAATGGATAACGACTTAGATTGAGGAATTAAATTCCAGTCAAATCCATTACATTCGCTTACGTGCTAATACCCTTGGGAAAGGTATGAATCCTCTTCTTCAAAGCTATGGGTAAATAGCAGGACTGGGTTCTGTAGACTTGGATGGCAACTGGTCTACTGCAGAAAGAAATGCCACCTACTGTGGGGGGGGGGAGTCTGCCTTGTCAGTCATGTATCCAAAGATACATGATTGCCTAAGCATGTATCATGCATAGCACATAACTGTCTATATTTATGAAATGAGGTATTGTAAGTATTTACACTGTTCAGACTGTTGTCCTCTTTTTATAGTGGGTTCAAAATTCCGTATATCACCTGTAGAGTGTACAACAGCCAAAATAGTGGGAAGGAAAAGAATTTAGAAACCGCCTGTAGTGATTGTAATGCTAAGTGTTTTTGGTAAAATCATTAGCCATTTTCAAGGGGTCCATTGTTAATATATTTTGTCCTAAGATATATTGGGTAGTAGTAGTAGTAATTCTAAGCTGTGTTAGATGGGAGTAGTAGTAGTAATTCCATATTGGGGCTGTATTTATAACACTGCCAGTGCACTCTGACCTGTTTCAAAGAGTGAGATTGAAGCTTGTGCTAACAGTGAGGAACAAAATGCATAGTGTGTCTCTCTCTCTCTCTCTATATATATATATATATATATATATATATATATATATATATATATATATATATATGAACTGAGTGTGTGATCATGGCTCTTCACAGATTTTTTTTTTTTTTTTTTTTTTTTTTTTAATCATCTGGGTATTGCTGTTTATTCTTTGACCAAAGTCATAGAGCTGTTAGCGTTTCTTAGGCTGGTACTTGCTCAATATTAAAGACAAACTAACATAAGGCTAATAGATATTTACTCTGCTCAGTCTGGCACAAGATTAAATGGTAGGAGCTGATAATAGGAGTAAGAAGATTATGTAGCATTAATTTTTCTCCTGAGGGAGGATTTTGCCATTAAGTACAGTGTTTGAAATGTTGACTTACCAACCTTTTGATGTCATTTAAAGCCAGAAAATATTCTTAGATTGTAAGAATTTTTAAAAATATTTTATTGATAAAAGCCCTACTAATTAACCCATTGCTGGGGGAAGAAAAGGTGGATTCACACCCTTTCCCAATGATATTTGAACATAAGTGCAAATAACAAACTCAACTAAAATTGGAACTTGGCTCTCTGATTTCCAATTCTGAGCTGTTATCCATTACACTACCCCATGCTTAAAGCACCTGGTATTCCCAAACAGTCACCCATCTAGGTACTGACCAGGCTTGATATTGCTTAGTTTCAGTGATTGTACAAGAACTGGTGTTTCAACATGATATGGCCATGAGTTCATTAGATTGCTGAAAAAAAAAAGAATAAATCAAGGTTGAAAATTGGACCATAGACTTTGTAATTTGTATTTTGATACTCCATGTAGCTATCACTCTACCCTGGCATGATACAAATCTTTGGAGCACAATGTTAATCATCTTGACAGAGCTTTGTTGCCTCCCTTGTGTTTTTGATTACATTTGACAGGGAAAGTGAATTAGGCATGCCAAGTTCAACTCCCACTCAATTCTGTTTTGTTCATTTTGCACCAATGCCCTTGGTAAAGGCATGAATCTATCTTCCTCCATCTATGAGTTGAATAGCAATGCAGACTGGGTTCTCCTGCCTTGAGATGGAAACCACTCTAGGAGAAAGAAAATAAAACTAGCCTGAAGAGGTTTGGGTTTAGTAAGCCTATCTTGCTCTAGATCAGTGGTTCCCATGCTTTTTCTCATCTTCAGATATTTTCACCAAATTTCATGTCATAAAAATGACATTAAAAAAAACCCCCAAAAATAGAGGGTTAAAGAGAGATAACTGCAGATTTGAAGTCAGGACATTATCATTGATAACTCTTTCTGTCAATTTATGAACCCTAGTTGCTATATTCTTAATACTTGATAGAATGCAAAAATATCACAATGTTAAAATCAGTCAATAATTCTTTATAACTATTTATACTGGGACTCATGCATGCATTTACAAGAAATAATAATATTCAAAATTTTGGAATCATATTTATTTTTGGCATATGAATTTTTTTGAAAATTTCTAAATCTTTGATTGTCTTTTGATCATTCTGTCTCACCTGCTACCCTCTTCCGCTGCACCTATGATGCGCATCACACTGTTTGGGAACAACTGCTATAGCTGCAGTACATGCAGTGCCTCTATGACCCTAATGTATATAAAATTTGTTTTCTTGTCTGTTACATTCTCTTGTATCAACTTGAAGAGGGATGGGTTCCGTCAGGCTATTTTGCCCTAGACACTGGTGCTATGGCTGCAGTATGTGTGGTGCCTCTTATGACCCTAACAGGTTACACAACTTGTGAATTTCATGGGATTTTTTCATGGGATATTTTCTGCTGCCTAGCAGCAGAAAATATTTTAAAAAAAAAATTGGATGGTCTGTCAGATGTCAATGAAATTTTCTTTGTCTTCTTTTTGGTCCAGTTCAATTTTTTTTTTTTTTTTTTTCCCCTTGTATTTGTCACCAACTTGGGAATTGTAATGGTGTGGGTGGGGGAGATGAAATGGATCTGCTGCTATCAGAATAGAGTAATTCTGCTTTAGCAGTGCACTGGATTGAATCATTAATTTTGGTTCCAGCCTAGTGCTTAAATCACTTCTTCATTGAGAGACACGATTTGTATACTTGTTCTGCCCTAAATTGCTGTTTGTCATCAAACAAGTCTTTCCTGCCTAACTTGATTAAATGTAGCAAAGAGAATTATGATGTGATGAAATGATTCAATACAAGCTGTTTCTTGATAAGAGACAAACTCTTTTGAAAGTTGAAATACAATTACTCAACATTTAACACATTTTTCTTTTATTTCTGTTTTATGTTCTTGAATAAAATAATCTAAGTAAGTGTACATGACCTGAAACTTGTTTCTGTTAGAATCTTAAATTGAACTCATTTGCCAGAGTTGGCCAGAGAACATGTTTCTTTTAAGTGCAAGCAGGTAGACATAATATACACCTGTTTAAAAAAATAAAAAAAATAAATAAAATAATAAAAAAAAAAAAACATGGTGCCTATTCAGAAATGGATATCCGGTAAAATAATGTTTGATTAAAAATTAGATCCATTAATTCTTTATAAATTACTTGGTTTGCGTTTTGGATATGAAATCAAGCAGATATTGGAATTAAACATTATTTTTAGTGGATACTTGTGTTTGAGTAGACACTCCATCTATTTATTAAACCATATATTTATTTATTTATTTTCATTTGTTGAACTGAATCGTTAAGAAATCTTATTAAAGAAAAAAGTTGTGCCCTCTGTCAGGAATTGAACCTGCGTCCCTCAGGAGTAACTAAAAAAGAAGTTTTGACAAATTTATTAAATAAATTTTGATATCTATTAACCATTTCATCATACCACTGACAGGATATTTGATGGTGGCACAGTGAAGGGAAAAACTGATTCATGCCTTTCGAGGATAAGTTAAGTGAACAAAAACCAGAACTTTGTTCTCATATTTTTTATTTTTATTTTTTTAAATGAGAAACTAATACAAATCCAAAGAGTAGATTGTTATAAGGGTGTAAATGCGGGGGGAGGGAGGAAGTAAGTGCAAGATAGATAACAATTGACCCTAAACTTGAAGAGGTTAAGATTGTAAAGTATCCTCTCAGGAGTCTTTCACAAAGTAACAGTTCCAGGGAAGATGTTTGAGTGGAACTTCTCATTGATGGAATATGGAGGGAATGACGATGGTTCACTCCTGTGGAGGTGGCATAGTTTGTCTTGCATGTAAAAGTCTGAGTAATGGAAGTGGCGATAAAAGAAAGTGTGGACCTGGTAACTCCACTCAAGTTGTAGCAGCCATACTTCATTTTTTGGTCTTGTGTGTATGTTATATATATATTATATTATTATTATTATTATTATTTCACTGCAAGCAAGGTAATAAAGCCACTGAGATGCAAGGGACTTCTGAGATTAAAGCATCTGAAAAAATCATTATTAAGTAGAGAGGACAATAAAAATATACAGGGCTCAAGGAAACAGAAGATGACCATTGATATTGCATTTAAATTTTTGAAGATCTAAATTGACTGGAAAGCAAGAAACCAGAAGAGAGGAAATTGTCTGCCATGGTAACAAGCATATCTCATAAGTAAGGACAGTCAGGTATATTTACCCAGTCCCCCCCACTAAAGGCAGGATGTGACTCAAGGTCGTTTATACATGGGAAGTGCCATATGTATGCATATGGTCCAAAGTCAAATATTTTTGCCCAGTCCCTGTGAACACTGTCAAGCTGGTATCACTATTACACTGACCCTACTCCTCTTTCTGCAATGAGGAAGATGATGCTGCTGGGTCAGAATCCCCAGGACTGGGTGCCTTCTCCCATCTAAAATGAGGAGGAACATTTACTCCACTTCTGGCCAAAACTTAATTTCTCTGCTGGTTAATTATGGATGATCAGCTTGCTAATACACTGCTCTTGGTTTTGTGTTAGCTTACTCTGGATATTTTCACTTTTAATGATTTAAAAAGCAGAATACTTTTTTTATTTTTTTTATTTTTTATTTTTATACATGCAACAATAGATTTAACTGTCATTATAAAAGTCCTAGATTACTCATGCAGAGAAAATAACCAATGCATTTGTAAAATGACTTAAAAACAAATGGTCGTTTAGATAGAGAATATTTATAATCGAATGGAAAGTTTGATGTCATTTTTCTTTAGAATATTGTGAATTTTATTTATTTATTTTATTTTATTTTTTTTAATTTTTAATGATTTAAGAAGCAAAAATTTTCCATACATGTAACAGACTTATTTGTATAGATAAACATCTTAGAAAAAGAATACTCGTAACATATGAAGGTAAGCTGACAAGTTCATAGGTTGACTTTGAAGGAGGGATGCCTTACATGCATTAATTTCAACTCTTATTAATATCACAATGACAATGTCATACCAACTCTTGATGTCCTTTTGACTTTTTTGACCAACAGGACGAACAGTCTTCTTTGAACCATCAGATGTCAGTTTACCTGGAAAGAAACAATAGTTCTTTATAAGAAGAGTTGAAATTTATGTATGCAAGATTTCACAGCTCTAGCATCACTCCTTCATTGACAGCCTATGAATTTTCAGCCCACCCTTATGGATCTTCATCATTAGGATAAAAATAATCTAGAACAGAAAGTCAGCATCCTCTACCAAGTGTTCCAAACTCGAACCTTTTCAAAACAGAAAGTGTGATCTGGAATTAGAATGAAATCCGTGATGGTATATACCCTGAATCCATCCTAAAAATTCAGGATTTTAAAATTTTACTCAAATCTAATTTTTAATCAACTTTTTTTTTTTTTTTTTTTTTTTTTTTTTTCAGAAATATTTAGTGTAGAAAATAACTTAAGTGAATTTGAAGATGGTTGGAGTAGTGGTAAAGTCAGTGGGCAGTGTTAATAAAATCTTCCACCTATAATCTTCAAAAACTTTAAATGCAACGTCAATTGCAATTTTCTGGCTTTCTGTTCTTTTATTGTCTTTACTTTATTTCGCTCACTGGAGTAGACTGTTTTGGTTCCATGTGCCATGTCTAATAGATGTCAGTTATTTCCTGTTAATTCCCCTCTGAAAGTTCTCCACTGCCTTAACCAGATATTGAACTCACACAGTGACAGGACCCAAACAGTGTGAGTTCAATACCTGGCTAAGACGGTGGAGAACTTTCAGGGCAGAATTAACAGGAGATAACTGACGACTATTAAAACCATTAAAACATGGCACGTGGAACTAGAACAGTCTACCCCAGTGAGTGAAATAAAGGGTTCAGTTCTTCATTCCAGCTATCTGAAGAAGACCGGTGCGTACAACGGCTGAAATGTTGTAATAAATATGGCAACAAAGATGAGGACAATAGTCCGAATAATGTAAATAGTGTACATAATACTCAGAAATATAGACAGATCTAGTTTTTAATCATTTTTTTTTCCTTTTATCAGAAATAGTCTTTTAGTGCAGAAAATAATTTAAATGAATTTGAGGATGGTTGGAGTAGCGGTAAAGACAGTGGGCAAGCCTAATAAAATCTGAAATTTAAACTATTATTGTATTTCATTTTGTGATATCGGTCTCTTTGCTGATGGTAAGATTATCAAATTTCAAATCTGAATTGTTTATCCATTTAAAAAACTATATTTATTAGAAAATGTATTCAGTTGGGAAAAGAAAAACCTTGAGCAAAAAAAAAAAAAAAAATCAACATTCTCTGCCAAGAGTTCCAAGAAATAGGACTCAAGATAAACTTTTTC